GTTTTCTTCTTTGAGGCAGTACAAAGAAAGACTGAAACTGCTCCTTTGATCACCTCGGCATTTTGGACATGACAAGTCAATAGGAATTCCTTGACTTATGTAACCAAGTCCCCGTGCTCTCCACCTTAGACTCAGAGGGCCTCAGAGTCACAACGTCAGGAAGAAGACCTTAGTATCAGTGTCATTTACTATTAATCTTCAGACCTAGTACTTAAAGTAATTTTCATAATGAGATTTTGTCTATATTCTTAAAATAATTTTTATAGCAATAAACAGCATTTGTTGTTCCTAAGATGAAATGGTGGGAGTGGAGAGACAACCATATAGGGATATAATAAAATGGGTCCTTTTCCTTTTTGAATAACTATGAACCCTCTGTTATATTCATGACCATGATATACATAGTAGGCTGTCTATGTAACAGCCCTTTGGATGGACGTGTAGCCTTAAACAATAATCTAGTTTTTAAAGATATTCAGAAAGTTGAAAGCAAAGAGATTTGAGGGAAATAGCTCCCACGTATAAAGAAGGGAACAGAAGATGAATCAAAGGAAACGCATGGAATTTGAATGGTACAGACAGACTGGAAGAGTGGGGTTTAAGAAATGAAAGACACTCCAAGCTAGCAAAAAGCTTCATGGGCTTTAATGAGTAATCCTCCAAAAGTGCAAAGCATTATTATAACTGCATTAGGCTAATAACATAGCAACCTCCTGTTTTGGGTAAAATACTTGGATGTAGATAGCAAATTCTTAGATATGGGAAAACATTTTAGTTAATTAGTGGAAGTTTGATTATCTCTGGACGTGTTCCATTAGTGTGCCTTGGTTATCGGGGTATATCCATTATCGGGAGTTTGCCTTAACAAGTCCATTTAGTGGATTCCATCAAGGCATTTTTCTACTTAACTCCTTGTGGCCATGTATCAGGGAGCTGGGCCCCAGTGGTTTCCAGGTTTCTTTGCATACGCTTTTGTAGCTTGTCAGAGCAGTGATAGCAGTGGAGAATTTCCCATACATGTGTGCCTCAGCCCATAGTTAGCAGGAGGTGGGAAATCAGGCGGAGATGCCTTCCAGAGCCGAGGGGCCTCTTGGCATTTCCCTGGCAGCCTCGTGCTTATCATCAGCCAGAACCCAGGCACTCATTAGGCTCTTGATGAAAAGCATCCCAAAGAAAATGCCAGCAAATTGTGCCACTGTGCTGGCAGGAAATTAAAACTGCTCAGAGCAAGTGGAGCCAAGAGAGCTGTTGAAATGAAAGGTAACATCAAGGGTGTGATCACGATGTTACACAGACGGTCAGGATTCAAGATGCGGCTTTCTGCTTCACTAGGGAAAGCAGGAGGCCCTCTCCCTCTCTGCTGTCAACCACAGTCAGTCCAACAGAGAGGCTGAGACAGGCAAGGAGGTGGGCTTTGTGAATTAAGCTTTGTTATGCTTGGGTAAATGCTTGGCGTTTAGGTTGTTTTATTTTTCCCAAAGGAAAAACAGAAATAAGAGGATTTGTTTTGTTTTGTTTTGTTTTTCGTTTTTCCTGGTCCCAAACACTTAAAGACCAAATTAAGTAAAAGAACAACTAAAAGCACCACAGGTTCTATTAAAGTGGGGGCAGACAGCATAGAGAGGAGCAGACAAACCTCCGAACCTGTGAATCTAGCAGCAGGACACATGAAGGAGGATTTTAATTCCAAAGAACTTTTTGTTGATGGTGCTACTTTTATCCTGAGATTAAAATGACCATCAGCTCTGGGGAAGAAAGGGAGGTGGGCAGCAGGAGGCAGCACCAACATGCAAACAGAGCACACTGAAATTTCCATCACACTGGGGGGGAGGGGGGTGGCAGAGTAATGCCCCCCAAAAATATCCAGGGCCTATTCCCTGCAATTTATTAATATGCTGCCTTACATGAGAAAGGGGAATTAAGGCTGCTAATTAGCTGACTTCTTGAGAGAGACTATATTGGATTATCCAACAGGGGCTTCATGTAATATCAGGGGTCCTTAAATGTGGAGGAGGGAGGCAGAAGCAGAGGTCATAGTGATGTGGAGTGAGGATTCAGTCAGTCATTGCTAGCTTTGAAAATCTAAAAGGGGGGTAACAGCCAAGGAATGTCAGTGCTCTTTCAAGGCTGGAAAAAGCAAGGAAATTGATGTTTCTCAGGAGCTTTTAGAAAGGAATGAAACCTGACAACACCTTGCTTTAGCCCATTGAGAACTCTGCTGGACTTCTGACTTCCAGAGCTAGAAGACAATAATGTTATCCTGTTTAAGACACTAAATTTGCAGTAATTAACAATAGCAGTAATAGAAATTGAATATATTGATGTTTAGAAAATTTATCTGAAGTTCCATATGTGTTTCCAAATTCATTTACAATTCTTGGGGCTAACTGGGAAGGCAAGAAAGCAGTGAAAAGATCTGAGATGTATATTTACTTGTTAGAATTGTTAGGCCTGTCACATGCATTATCTCAATCTTTACAACAGCCTTAGTGTATCATAACTCTAACCTATAAATAAGGATCTTTTTTAAAAAGTAAAGTAGGTCATGTCCTTAAATCCTTCAGGGGCACCTGGGTGGCTCAGCCAGTTAAGCATCAGGCCCTTGACTTGCAGCTCAGGTCATAATCTCACGGTTGTGATATTGAGCCCCATACCAGACTCCTGGCTAAGAATGGAGCCTGCTTGGGATTCTCTCTCTCTCTCTCTCTCTCTCTCTCTCTCTCTCTCTCTCTGCCCCACCCTTGCTCACTTGCTTGCATCCCCCCACCCCCACTCAAAATAAATAAATAACATTTTTTAAAAGTCTTCAAGTGTTCCCCATCCCTCCTACATTAAAATCCAAACTCCTTATTTTAAAATCCAAAGCTCCACATCAATTGCATTGAAGTGTGAACTCCTGGTCAGCATCAGCTGGGACCTTGTTACAAAAGCAACTCTCAGGTCCCACTGTAGACCTTTTGGTCAGAATCTCTAGGGGCAGGGCTCAGGAATCTGTGGTTTAACATGTGCTCCAGCTGATTCTTAAACACACTAAAAAGTTTGTGAAGTGCTACCTGACATGATATGCACTTATTTATTTCTCCAGCCAGGTCTGGAACCCTTCTCATCCTTGCCTGTGATGCCCCAACCACACTGGCCTTCTTTCACTTAGGAAGGTGTCACATTTGCTCCCACCTTGGGACCTTTATATTGTCTGTTAGAAATTTGCCTATTGTCTAATTCCGTTCAGGTCATGAGGTGTCCCTGATTGTAAGCACAGGAGAATCCAAAGAAAAAGTGTGAATAGGACTGGCTCCTCATTATTTCCTCATAACCTATGTTTGTGATTTGAGAAAATTATAGATATACAGTCATGAATTGAAATCTATGGATAAGAAAATGGACAACAGTTGTTAATTCTGTAGATTTAAGTTTTGCTACAAATTTTAACAATTGTCATCACAATGTTGTTTTTCTTGAAGAAGCTGGTGTTGGGATATTACATTTGGAAAAACTTTTTTTATATTTATTTTATTTATTTTTGAGAGAGAAAGAGCGAGAGAGTGAGAGCGAGAGAGAGAGAGAGAGAGAGAGAGAAGGAGACTGAGCAGGGAGGGGCAGAGAGAGAGGGAGACAGAATCTGAAGCAGGCTCCACACTGCCAACACAGAGTCCAATGCCTGGCTCGGCACAAACCATGAGATCATGACCTGAGCTGAAGTCATTCGCTTAACCATCTAAGCCACCCAGGTGGCTCAGGAAAAGCTTTTAATGCTAGTTAGTATCTTAATTACTCCATCTCATGATCTTGCATGCTCTATTAAATTCTTTTTTATTTTTGAAGAGGGATTTAATAAACAGGCATACTTCTCAGCCTATACAGTATACATTAGCTAGGTGTGTTCTAAACCAGTGTTAACTATGAAACCTCCATGACTGATAAGCACTTCTGCTTTTTCAATTCCTAAAGTTTACCATTTTCATAATGAGTTCTATTGCATTTCACAAGTCTCTTGGCAGGGTCTTTAAGGCTGACTTTGTTTTTCTCTTGTATAAATTAGCTTCAGTAGATTATTTTTATAGTTAAAACATAATATAATATCAAACAGTTTAGTTCTATTTAAAGTCATTGGTCTACTCGGGAGCATTTGGCATTTTTTATCTTACACAGTAAGTACCTACTACAATTAATAACCCCCCTAATTTTGGTGGTGTTCTCAGCAATTTACTTCTCAGTTGTGTAAAAGTCCAGTGTGGGCATTTCTGGTCAGTAGATGGCTTTCTCCCATCCCCTAGGACCTTAGAACCATCTGCATTCAGCCAGTGGATTGGCAGAGTAGAGAAGGTCTTTTTCTAAAAGCTCAGAGTTGCAAGTGGCATCACTTTTGTTCATATTCCCTTGGTGAGAATTTCTCACAAGGCCATAAGTGGATGCAGGGGCGACAGGGCACTTATCTCCCAGGGTGGACAGCCATTTCCAGTGACAAAATCACTCCATGAATGGGGAGCACAAATATTGATAGGCAGCCAGCCAGCTGTCTCCTGTCACAAAAACCTATGTAAATTATCTTAGGACCATGTTATACTTCAGTTGCCAACCAAATGTAATGTTCAATCAAAGCAAACACATCCTTCTTTCCTGGTTACCATATGTGCATTTCACCCTTTTAATGGTCCCTTTAGCATCTCATATTTCCTCATTTAGAAATTCTCATCATTATTCAACTACAGTAAGCTTCTTAGGGACAGAACCATAGTCACTTTGTTTTTTGTATCCCTCCCACCCAATATAGTGCTTAACAGAGTCTCACCTACAGCTGAGGCTCAATGAATTATTTTGACTGACTGACTGAATGAATGAATGAAAGAATGAGTAAAAGTACTGCATACCTACTACAATATAATATCTCTTAGGATATTGCCTGTGCTTCAAGCTGTCTCTAGTCACTTTTGAGTTATATGGTGAGCTGAATAAATCAAACAGAAATTAAGATTCTTTGTCTTTTCTGTCTTTTCATGAAGGACATGATGCGATTGTCACACTTCTGAAGCATTATAAGAGACCACAGGATGAACTGCCCTGTAATGAATATTCTCAGCCTGGAGGAGGTATGACTTTCTTACTCACTTTTTGTTGTTAGTACAATATTGTGCCTAATGGCAAACCTTTGTTTCTATTACTGTTATTCTGGGGTTAAGGAGGAAGGCATGTGAGATTTTAAGAAAACTTTTATCTGGGTGAGGCTGAAAATAAAGAAGCCTTCACTTGGAGCACCTGGGTAGCTTAGTTGGTTGAGCCGACTTTTGATTTCAGCTCAGGTTATGATTTCATGGCTTGTGAGATCAAGCCCAGAATCTGAATCCATGCTGACGGTGAGGAACTGGCTTGGGATTCTCTCTCTGCCCCTCTCCCACTCACATTTTCTCTTTCTCTCAAAATAAATAAATAAACTTAAAAACAGAAGAAAGCCTTCATTTAAGCTGTTTTTTTCTAATTCACCAATCTGCAGTTCCTTCAAGGCTAACTAAGATTCCCTGAACTGGGTGTTTTTGAGGCTTATTCATGACTAGGGAGGCATGGGTGAACTGAGAGCAGTCGTGTTCAGTAATCTATTAAGGCAGGCCAAAGAATATCATACCCAGACACAAATTAAATCTTGTGGAGTCTGCTGGATCTTGGTTTTTTATTTTTAATCTTTTTATGTACTTTCCAAATAAACGCTCACTATACAGTTTCAGTATCCAGAGAAAGACCTGGGTTAAAGCTATATTCTCACTTGGTTTTCTTAGCAAATTTCTTTTGTCACCTGCTTCTTTTTATAATATTTAATGTTTATGTAGAAAAAAATGATGGCTACTTTCAACTCTATAATCTAATTTGATTTCTAGATGGCTCCTATGTGTCTCTTCCATCTCCCTTGGGGAAGATAAAAAGCATGACAAAAGGTATTTCAATATGGGACAGTTGTTATACTTTATTATTCCAGATTCCTATTGCCTCAAATATAACTTTCTATTTTGTTTTACATATGGTACATGATAACTATTTTGCATTCATAAAGAATATTACCAACAAGCCATTCTTCCCAGTTAACCTTATCTGCTGTTTTGTTTTGAATATGCCATCTCAGTTCATGAAGATATAACAGAGAATTTCATGAGTACTAAAGAAAGATCAAATTCTTAAAGACATTTGTACTTTTAATGAAATCTAAATTGCCAATGTTAATATTTTTAAGGAGAATTAGGAATAGGTGTGCCATAGGAAAATAAATTTGAAAAAAGAGGTTATTTTTCCAAAGACCCCAAATAAGTAAACGTTGGGAAATTCTTGTGTGGATGCTGCACATAGAAATTAATACTATTGAATCAGGAAAATTTTATTTTAAATATACAATTCGACTATAAATTTGTATTTAACTATTTAGAATTTAAAGTTTTTGTTTTTAAATTTTTGATTTAGGATGTTTGCTCTGAATGATTCACATACTTATTTTTTTACATCTAATTGGCATCCCTTTGAGATTTAACTTATAGATATTTGGCTAAGCCTACTGTGGTAGGCTGCAGGGGTTGACCAGATAAAACTCCTTATCATGATATGATATGAACTGCACTCCGGTTGCCCTGTCATGCAGACAAGCTAGTTGTTGATCAGATTAGGAATCAACCCTTAGCCCTGATAACAAAGGTCAGAGAACAGAGACAGAAAAGTAACATGTTTTTAATGCAGGGGGATAGGGATCATTTGTGATAAGGTTTTAGCATCTCCAAGGGTCAACTGTATTTGGAAAATTAAATGTTACTGGGGAATGACATTTTTGGTTAAGTAAAGTATGTATGTAAATCATGCGGACATATCCATGTATGTTTTTTAATCTTAAGAAAGAAAATAACAATTCCTGTTTTCAGAAAAGGCAGATGTCCTCCTCCTAAGGGCTGGATTACCCTCACATTTCCATCTTCAACTCTCAGAAATTGAGTTCCATGAGATTATCGGCTCAGGTAATCTAAGAAAACACTAGTCTGCTGTAGTTTCAGCAGCTCAAGATAAAATGTGTTTACTCATTTCTCTTAAACAATTTTAGGTTCCTTTGGGAAAGTATATAAAGGACGGTGCAGAAATAAAATAGTGGCTATAAAACGGTAAGCAAGCAAATGAGAAAATTTAGCATCCGACTGGAGTTGTGAACTTTAAGAAGCATATGCATGGCAAGCCTCTTGTTTTGATCCATCTGCTGACTGAGGATCTCCTGCTCCTGCCATTTGCAGTTACCGAGCCAACACCTACTGCTCCAAATCAGATGTGGATATGTTTTGCCGAGAGGTGTCCATTCTCTGCCGGCTCAATCATCCCTGTGTAATTCAGTTTGTGGGTGCTTGCTTGAATGATCCCAGCCAGTTTGCCATTGTCACTCAGTACATATCAGGGGGTTCTCTATTCTCCCTCCTTCATGAACAGAAGAGGTATGGTTCTCTTGTTCTGACTTATATCACTTTATGTGTCATCAGAATTATCCTTCAGTACCTCAGAGACTTTCTGCCTGGGTGACCCTTTACCTTCAGAAATCTCTGAGTACTAGGAAAGGTGGCATTTTAAAGATGGCTAATAATTTTGTCCAAGAATTATGTTTTAATGAATAAAAATACTTCTGTGCTTTCTTAACAGGAATTCAGTTGAAGATGAACTATCCAAGAAATTTAAATTAGCAACTGAAGCTTATACTAATTAAGTTAATGTGACATACCAATAAAGCAGATATATAAGCTCAGACTAAAATAACTCAGAATAAAAGAATTATCAGGGGTCCTAATATTTATTCTTTAAAGTTAAAAAAGAATAGCCTTGCATAATCTAATTTTAATTCACTTCCTAGATATAGGCCTACAATAATCAGAATACGGTTTCTCTCAGTTATTTAAATAGAACCCATTTTATGTTATTATAAAAAATTAAATATAATATTATAAACATAAACTCAAGTAGAATATTTTAAATATAAGGGGTTGGTATCTAAATTGATTTATAATTAAGCTTTATCTGATGTGGAAAGCTATTTTTCCAGATTTCTTTGAATTTTTAGCTTAATCTTCAATAAAGCAAAAAAGGCTGAAAGATATACAGAATAACAAATCACACACACCATTGATTTCTTTAAGAAAGATGTGTTACTGGCTTTGACTATTTCATTCTCACTGAATCTATTTTTAAATTCTAGGATTCTTGATTTGCAGTCTAAATTAATTATTGCAGTAGATGTTGCCAAAGGTATGGAGTACCTTCACAACCTGACACAGCCAATTATACACCGTGACTTAAACAGGTATTTTCCCCCCTAAATAATGAACATAGAATTGTGTAACTAACTGAGACTCTAAGACATATTTAAGTGTCTCTTCACTGAAGATATGGTGTAACTTCACTTAGACACATTACAAATCAGAGTTTTCTTCTCTGTGGGTAAGGGGACAGGCTACTTTAAGGCCAGGTGATAGAAAGTTTTGTCATTGTCTTTTACAGAAATAGAAAGCTATATAACTGCCTCTTGGGGATCATTCAAATCTATGAAAAATGTCCACAAAGAGAGTGATGTCTGTAAGATTCACCAGCTAGCTAGTTCTCAAGTCAATAAAGTCAGATCAAGAATTTAGGTCAAAGACTATTATAGAATTTCAGGTCTCATACAAAGTCAGGTGTTATGGGAGGTCCTGATTTAAATTACCTACTTTTGTGCTGCCATTTTGTTATTTTTCTAATAGTAAATTCAGCCAAAACACAGCAGCTCATTTACGCAGTTTTCATGTGAAGTTATTTTCGTGTGGGTCAGAGACTTGAAACAAATATGGAATTAGAGTATTCCAGGAGTGAAACCCCAAGAGATTTTTAAAAATAAACAACTTTTGAAACAGTGGAAGCTTTCTAGGCAAAGTCTTACAAGAAGGCCAATCTACAAAATGTAGCAGCTTTAGTTGAAGACAATTGTAGGGTAAAGAAATCTGTTCACTTACCATTTTCTACTGCCAGGGAGGGAGATCCCCAGGCCGTCTGTGGAATCCCTAAGGTGCTGGGGAAAAGAGCCAGACAACCATTGATCTAGGTTATGAAGTGAGTCAGATTATTCGAAGGCAATAATTTTCATTTGATTATTATCAATAACATTCATATAGATTCCATATATAAATTTTTGTATAAAGTCCACAATTCTGAGACTACTAAAAAGTAATTACTCTATTCAACCTTTTGTTCAATAATTATTTGGGTATCTACTATGTTTAAAGTCTTTATACTTGGCCCATTAGAGCTTACAATATGAAGCTGCCAGACACTTCATTCTCAAGGGCCTTTCGTAGTTTTAGTAGAGCAGAAAAATACTTAACTAATTATGTTTTAGGTATCAAGTAACAAGTTCCATAAGAGAGATATTTAAAGATTCTGTAAAATTTTAGAAGGAAGGATATTAATTACTTCTGAGGAATCTAGAAACATCTTCATGAAAGAAGAGACATTTCAACTTGACACCAAAGGATCGATGGAATTTGAGAGTGTAACCTAGGCTTAGGGAAAACATTAAGAAAATAGAGATTAGAAAGCTAAAGGCATATACAGGAACAATGAATAGTTTTTGCTTTAGTGGATCAAGTGTTTATGAATGTATGTGGTATATGTAATGTAGGAATCAGATGATTGGGAAAGAAATTCAGAAAGATAAATTGGAACAACAGCACAAAAATCAGTGAAATCCTAGACTTTAGGTAGTTTAGACTTTGTTCTGTGAGAAAGAAGTAGGTACTGCAGATGGTTGAGCTAGGAATCAGAAGTTTGGAACTGTATTATGGAATAATTAATCTAGCATCTTGGTAAAAGATGAACTTGATGGGAAAGTCAAGAAACTGATGAAGCAGTTGTTGCAGTAATTTAAGTGAGAAGTAATGAAAAGCAGAATTTTACTAGTGGCAGTGGAAATGAAAGGGAGAGACATATTAAAGATAGGGGAGATAAAATAAATTAGATATGAGAATGTTTGAATCTTAGATATTGGAAGTAAATGTGTGTGGGATATAATCCATTTAAAATTATTAGTTTTCATACAAAGGTAATTTCTTTGTTGTTATTAGGTTTTTTGTTTTTTACCTCTCTTTTAAAAACATTTGTGTTAATAAATATTTTTTCTTTGAGTTTCAATAAAAGTGTTTAGGAAATAGATTTAGATGATAAGTTAGCATAATATAAACTGAAGATTTGTAAGTTTTAGGAGGATTATATTGTCATCCCAACCATTTTGCATGTGGTATTAAAACAAATGTGTGATTGTTGAAAGTTTTTTCTAGCTGTAACTTTTCAATTATGGGGCAGTTGACTGTGTATTCTGCTGCCCTGTGAATAAATGCAAGTTGTTACCACCAGGTCGTAAAGCAGGACCAAAAATATAAATTGTGATTAAAGTAAAAATAGAACATTTATTCTATAACAGATATGTTTATATTTACCATTTTTTCTGTTTCTAATCTAACTCAAATGCTCTAAATCATACCAAAAGTCTTCAAATTTTATAAAACACTGTTTCATAGATGCATTCACTATAACAGAGTCCCAAACTATTGTATTTATTATTTTTGAACTGTTTATTTTACTAGTTTTTAATCTTCCAAAAATAAAACATTCAGTTTTTCAGAATAATGCAGATATAGCATTGTACATTGCTCAAAAGGATGTAAGTGCTTCCCCTTAGAGGCCTTACTACACTATAGTTGGGTACATAGAACATGTTCCCAAGAAACAATTTATTTCCCATGTAAGGTAGAAAATTACTAAGGACCAAAATGATTAAGCAGCAATTTTACTGGAAATCAAAGGATTTTGAGTAAGTCAGAGATCAAAGTAGAGTGGAAAGCTTCCTGGAGGATGTAGAGCTAAAACTAGACTTTGAAGAACAGGCGTGTATCTTCCCTCAGTGTCCTCAGAGCATACTAACCCTTGCATGTCTATAGTGCTTTCTGAAGTCCCACTGAAAGAGGTAAAAGGAAAGATTATCATCAGAGTGAGGAACTTGGACATATTTGCGTTTTTGTATTGAAATGACCTGTTTACATTTTTCTTTCTCCCACTAATCTGGGAATGTCCGGGTTTCAAGAGCGAAGATCTTTCTCTTTATTGCAGAGATGTTCAATCAATGCATTTTTAACTGAACCAAATTTTAGGGGCATTTTTATGAATATCATTTTAGGAAGCAATGGCCTAGTTGATACAAGTATGGCTACTTTTATGTAGAGTCTGACTAACTTTCCCATTACTTTTTTATGGTGTGAAGTAAAGAGGCTGTTTGAGCTTATTGATAAGCTTACAGAGAGGGGACACTTCTGTCTTTGATTTTTGCCGTTGTTGATTTATATGAGTGAGAGGAAAGAACTCTGCTTTTCCCTTGGGAAGCTTCTCACCATACAGGTCTGAAAGTTAATTTTGATCTTTAAGTATGTACTAAGGAGAAGTTGTAGGAATGAGTAAGGAAGCGGTTCTTTCCAGTGATGATGAGAAGAATGATGATAAAGCCCACCATTCATTTACCACTCACAATGTGAAAGGAGATCATGTATGCTCTCAGTTAATCTCACAACAATTCTATAATAGAGCTATTATTATCTCCATTTTACTGATAAAGAAACTAAGTCCAAGGTGACATCCGTAATTCACAGTGTTTTTAGCATTATATTATGCTGTCCCAACAACAACAAAACCAAGTCGAAACAGAGAGATAGACAGAGGCTTATGATACTAGGTAAATATCAGCATTTACCAACTTTGCTTTCTGTGACCCAAATCATTTCCAATATCATCTCCTTGTGATTCTGTGTTCCTGCTTTCTTTCTTCTTTTACAACCAATGTTCTGCTAGTGTGGAACAGAAAATCTGTATGATATGTTTCCTTTGGTCAATAGTATTTAAATAGTTTAAATTTTTTTTTACTATTTATTCATTTTTGAGAGAAAGGGAGAGACTGAGTGTGAGCAGGGGAGGGGTAGAGAGAGAGAGAGAGGGAGACACAGAATCTGAAGCAGGCTCCAGACTCTGAGCTATCAGTACAGAGCCTGATGTGTGGCTCAAACTCACAAATCATGAGATCATGACCTGAGCCAAAGTCAAGACGTTAACTGACTGAGCCACCCAGATGCCCTTAATTTTTTAAGTGTATATAGCTTTAGACAGGAATGCACCTTCCAATTTGTTGTAAACCCCACTACCTACCAACTTACCAACTTAAACTTGGCCCAATTGATACCTTCATTTTGAAGCATTGGAGCTCACAAAGCATAGTTTACAGCTAAAGGTTTTAAAGCTTTTTATTGAATACAAGCAGCTCTCTGTTTCCTCGGAAAAGTACATTTTCCAAATTGTTTGACACTGAAACCAAAATCTCATATGCAATGAAATAGTGTTACTTCCATCATAGAGTGGCCATTGTACTCCCATGAGATATGTATATGAAAGCATTTTGTAAACTGTGAAGCACTATACAAATGACATTTGCTCTTGCTATTAACCCCTCTGTTCCCTTATGTGTAGAAGATGGAAAAATACTCTACAGTATTCTCAAACGTATCAGTATTTCTTTTTAAGTAACAAATAATTAACTGGGGTCTAGGTCTGCATCTGAGAAAGACCACTATTGGTTTTTGAGTGTCAGCTTATTTGGGTGACAATAAAGGAAAATAATTAGTGACAATTTAAAAAGAGCCAACTTACTGATGACGAATGACAGATACTATAAACTGACAAAGCTTTTAAGGGCTAAAAGAATTTTAATTTTAAAGATACATTTAACTAGGGGCACCTGGGTGGCTTAGTCGGTTAAGCGTCCGACTTTCGCTTAGGTCATGATCTCACGGTTCGTGGGTTCGAGCCCCGCGTCGGGCTCTGTGCTGACTGCCAGCTCAGAGCCTGGAGCCTATTTCAGTCTGTGACTCCCTCTCTCTCTGACCCTCCCCTGCTCACTCTCTCTCTCTAGAAATAAATAAAAAAAACCTTAAAAAAATTTAAAAAAAAAAATAAAGATACATTTAACTAAATTAGTGAAGTTTTCAAAAAGTATGAGGGAAAAATATTGGTAAAAAATTAATAATTGTTTTTAAGCTGAGGTATACATTTGCCTTTCAATTGAATATAAATATAAAAGCCTTCATTTCAAAAAAAACTCAGTCAAGTACAAATAAACAATTTTACTAGTTTTTTCTAACTACTGACCTATTTGTTAAAGTTGTATTCCTTAGTTCTCATAGTCTAGTCTTAGCTATGACTTTCCCTTGTGACTTTCCCAATAAGTGGTGATAC